TTTGAATAATTTCTTTGTCTTTTTCTTTTTTCTTTCTTTTTTTCTTTTTTTTTTTTTTTTTGCCAGACACTGGGCAGGGTTTGCCTCAGCTGATTAGGCCATGGAAAAGAGTGTGTGCATCTCCCAGGATCCTCGCTTTGGGCCAAGCGAGCTGGCAGAGAACCTCCAACAGTGTCATTAGCAGCCTAGGGTAAGAGCTTTACCTCAATAAATAATGCTGTTAAATAAAGGCCAACATTTAGTTAGGTAGCTTTTTTTTTTGTGCTACCTAACTAGAAGTTATGAAATGTATATTTGCAAACTTGAAAAATGATATTTCAAATTTCATAAATCTGGGTGATCTTTGAAATCATTTGATTAAAGGGTCTGTGGTCCATGGAGGCAAAAGTTATTGCTGAGAATGCAAGTGGGTGACATGGAGCATGAGAAATAAGGAGATAATTCTTGGTCTCATTGAATGGGCAATGAACAATGAATATCATGGAGAAAAGACTCACTTTCTACTTCACAAGTTGTGTGGTCCTTGGAATTAGCTATTCCAGTATCAGAAAACTGCTTGAGGAAGTGGTTTTAAAAATAATCATAAGAAACAAACAAACAAACAAAAGAAACCCATGGGGCTGGATGGTGATACAGCGGTAGTATATGGTGCTCTGCAAAGCCGACCTACATGGGAAAGTTGTGGATTCATGTCTGGAGACCTCCCTGAGTACACTGGGCACATGTGTGCCCATGGTCTAGGGCTGGTTGAAGATAGGGGTTGATCAGCATCAGGCCCTGTTGGAAGTGCTATCTTGCTCTGTCTTTTTTTCTCTCTCTTTATCTCTCTCTCTTTCATAGTGGAAATAAAGTTAACCAAAAAAATCTTAGTATTTATTGAATCCTACTCCATGTCTAGAATTGAGCCAGGTACTGGGAATCTATGGATAACCTCTAGGATGGTTGACCTTTAGAGAGCTAAACAAGGAATTGAGAGGAGTGGAAAAATGCAAAAGAATGAAATGATAAGTTTAACCATATGGAATTGCCTTTTAAAATGATAGGTCAGTAATGGTTGTTTCATGTGATTGGCAATTTCATATGACTATCAATCATTCATGTGGTCCAACATGAATAGTTGTGGAGATAAATATATATATATATATATATATATATATATATATATATATATATATATATATATATATATATTTTTTTTTTTTCTTTTCCTTCATAATGCAGGACCAAATGTCCAACTTGGTATGTTTAGTGTCTCTGGTGCCTGGATAATAAATACACGCAGGAAGTATCACCCAGTCATTATAACTGATCAAGTAGCTCTTCCAGAGATCTCCAAGTGCAGGTATGAGGGTTGGATGAGATGATGGTGAGGGGTCATCTTTCATTTTAAAATCTTTGAAATTGTTACAGAAATCAGTTTGGGTTTGGATGATTGAAAAATATGCCTAAAGTAGGTGGGACTTGAGCTGGAAACTGAAGGGGAGGAGGTCTTACTTAGATACAGGGAATGCGGGAATTTGTTCCTCCTTCCACACTTGTGAAAGAACAGGTTAGAACGGAACGGCTGGATTTGAGTAGAGAAGAAAGAGCAGACAAAAACAGTATGACTTTGGTGAAGGGGGTTGGGGATAGGAAAGGGAATGTGGGCTCTGGATTAGAAAAATAAAACAGCATTTAAAAAAGATGAAAGCTCACCTGCTAAGGTCCTGGAGTGAATATGGATCTCATTCTGAAGAAATGGCCATTTTAGAGGTCTCAGGTACAGAACCCATGTCTCCCAACTGGAAATCTGCACATGGAGTGGCTTACGGTGGTCGCTGTGTGCCAAGATGGCACAGCAACTCAGGTGGTTCTATAGTTCTCCAAAGGGGTGGAAAAATCGCTCCTAACGCTCTCAGAAAAAAAAGCAATACCCCCGCAGAGAAAGAATCATTTGCTTGTGAATACATTGTATATGTGTTTCCATGTGATGCTTAGATTCAAAAATTAAGCCAAGCAAACCCCAGGAAATATGAAAGAATTTGTTCAGGCATTTTATGAGTACTGTCTGATCTATAGGCCAGCAAAACCCATCTGATGTTTTCTACACAGACCGATGTCCCGAGCTACTTGGTGTGAGCACTTCACACAGCACTGTCTCCCGTGTGTGTATGTGTGTATTTGCATATAGCTGCTTCTCAGGAAGGTTGGTGAGACAACCATAACATAACCAATACAAAAGCGCTCCATCACTGTAATATTTTGGATCGTTGAAATGACAATGGATGAGAATACAAATGATGTATATCTAATATGAACATTAAAAATAAACGATACTACAGGTGGTGATAAGCGGTATTAAAATATAAAAAAAAATTAAGAGGGTGAGAAATGAAGAAATGTTTGCCTTTTAAAACAAGGTGAGGGCGCCTAGCCCTGGGTGAAAGTAGTAGCGCTGGCTGTGCAAGGTTAGGGCCACATGGGAGGTCCGGTTAGGGCTTTGAAGAGGCCAGTGAGACAGTGGTGGGTGGGACACAGGATCAAAACAGGGAGACCCTGTCAAAAATCTCTCTCTCCTGAAAAAAAAAAAAAAATGCGGGGCGGAGTAGCGAGTGTGTTTGTAAATGCCATGAAATATATTGAATAGTTTCCCTCTTTTGTGAACGTGTTTTTCCGTGAACTTGATTGTTCACTTGCCTCATTGATTCTCTTCTCCAAGTCTAAATAACAGACCACTTAAAATCCAAACTCCTCAAATCTTCACTAGCAGGCGGAAGAACACACGTGCAATCTGTACTATGCCACCCAGCCATTAATTACATCTGCCTTGCATTGTTCTCTGTTGTTTGAGGCCTCAGCCTCCCGTGCTCAAAATAGATCTTAAGCTCCTTGAAGGCAAGAATCCTGCCTGAAACTGCGTTCGGACCCGCCTTGTACATACTACGCAAAGGCTGATCACAGAAAATAAAGCAAGGGTCTTACATCTCAAACTGTCTCTCTCCCCCACCGGTTCGCAGCCCGCCCTCTCTCATTGCTGTTCCCCACTGAGGCCAGGAGGAGGCGCCACTGACTCGGGTTAAGCCTGTTCCCCTTCCTACCCCACTTCCCCCAGCACATGACGTGGGAAGCTGCCTCCGCCAGAGTCTTAGCAATAGGAGTGAGGGGGTGAAGGGGTTTGGGGGTGGGGTGGGGTGGGGGGTGTGGAGAGAAAGGACACGCGCGCGCACACACACCCTGGGAGCAGAAACATCTTCCCTAGCTTCGTGGGTTTCTCCTCCCCCCAGAGCCAGTGTGTGAGAGGTAGGTGTGTGTGGGGGGCAGTGGGGGTGGGAGGCACGTTCTGAGTGTGAGACCCAAATCCAGACCAGGCAACCTGTGATCTCCCCGCCCTCTCCCCGTCCCCGGTGATTAATACCCATTTTTCGTACTCTCCCCTCCTCCCCTGCTCTCCTCTCCCGCTGCCGCGCGGTTGACTTGCACAGCCTGCCCCCTCCCGCTTCC